TTTCATCGACAAGATACATTATTTTCACTATTTCGCAAAATTAAAGGATCATCTCCCTATGAAAAACTTGTGAAGAAGACTCAACTTAAAATCGAGTTAAACGACACTGGGCCGGCTTCTATTTGCTCCCAATGCCTGATAGAATTAGATACAACAGTGAGCTTTCTAGAAAAGTGTGAAAAATCCAATCATATACTCGCCGCGAAGCTTTCTCAGTCAATAGTGTTGGGTGACGTGAAAACAAATGTCTCTGCCATTAGACACGAAGAAACATTATTTCATGACTCCGCTGAACACAAATACAGCGAAAAAACGGAATTTCCAATTGAGTATGACATAGAAGACAATAGTTTTACTCAAACGCCTATTGAAATCGAGCCGGCAAAATGTTCCGAGTGCGGTTCTCTGCGGCGCTGTAAACACTGGGCGCCTCCGACTTCCTTCATCTGCCAGTACTGCAGTAAAGTTTTTACAAGAAAATTCAACTTCAAACTTCATCTGTAAGTAGTATACCATCTATTCTTTAATCTAGTTTCACTTAAATAATATTAGCCTAGCAATACATGAATTGACTGTGAAATATAATTTTCAGGAAGCGTCACTTAGGAGAGAAGGACTGGCCATGCACAACCTGCGGTGTACGCTTGCTGACTCGCTGGCTGGCCCAACGCCACTGTGCTCCCAAGCCACGGCGCTCGTGTCCCGTGCCGGGCTGCGGCAAAACATTCACCACCAACACTAATCTCACCACACACATGAGAGTGCATAGTGGTAAGTAAATAATTAATATACTATCATTAAATATAATTAAGTTATGTTGCCAAAGAGATATTAAAATAGATTAAACATAAATTGATTGATTTCTAAACATTAATATTGGCTTAAATCTTTAATTACTTTTTATTGTACTGAACAATCAATTAGCTTTTATTAGAACATTTATTAAGGAACAGTAAAAAGTAATGATGATTCAGTTTCTTTTCACTAAATCAATTTTATTGCTAGATAATAGTTTGTTTTAAAATTTTATTTGTATTTGGTTGCAGGGGAGAGACCTCATGTTTGCACAGAGTGTGGGAAAAGTTTCACCAGCAAGAATACCCTTAATGATCATTTTAGGATACATACAGGTATGATTATTTTATTAATTAACTATGGTTATTTATTTCTATTTATAAAAATTATAATGAGTAGGTACCTACACATGAGTGTTGTAAGTAATGTAATTTTTTAAAATGATTACAAAACAGGGCTTAAAAAAAAGTTAACAATGTTAATAGTATTATTAATCAGTAACCACAATAGTATGCATAATCTAATATTTAAATAGTAACTGCAATAATTCACCGGATGTGTCTTTACAATAAATAATAATAATAACATTTATTAACACTATAAATGTATTAACATACCTTTGTTTTTAGAAATGTTTTAATAAAGGTAGATTCTAGGCAAAATTTTGGCTCTTTATCTATGGCAACTTATACCAAATGACATAATATTGTAATCCCACTCATTACAAGTCACATATAGACAAAGAAGGTAGTTATAGTTTATTGTAACAAACTCTACACAAGACTTGCGCTACTTGTGCTGCTTCTTCTCAGCACTGGCCCATTTATTGTCCTGAAGCAGTAAAATAAAAGGGTTAATATTGAGATGTGTAAAAGTGCTTTTTAAAAGCCCATTTGCATGAATAAATGAGTCTTATGCCCGTTTTCACCATTATCCCTAATTTTTAAGTGACCCTTTGACAACAAAATCCATGTTATGTGTTACCATGGGGGTCACTTAAAAATTAGGGATTGATGGTGAAAACGGGCATCAGCGTAGCATCTTGACGTCATCAACCCCACAACGGACCCTCATCTCCAGGCGCAAAACCCTACATCTGCCCAGTATGCGGGCGGCGCTTCACCACCAACAAGCTGGCCGCACACTTGCGTACGCACTCGGGCGCGCGGCCGCACGCTTGCCCGCTGCCCGCCTGCCCACGCGCCTTCCGCACGCGGCGCGCGCTGCGGTTGCACGCCGCCACGCACGCGCCGCCCGCGCGGGCACACGCTTGCACGATGTGCGAGGCTGCGTATAATCATAAGCAGTCGCTGAGGAAGCACATGAGGCAGCGACATGCGCAGGTCAGTTGTTACTTCTTCTTCTCAGCTCTGGCCCATTGAGGCGATTATCACACTGCACCGCGCTCCGCCGCGGTCCGCGTGGCGACATATAACGAATCGCGCGCGCAAACGCATTGTCAGTGTGTGTGCCACGCGTGTTTTCTATACAAACTGAGGTACTTGCATATAATTATTAAATCTGTCGTCCGCGTACCGCGGCGGAGCGCGGCGCAGTGTGATAACCGCCTAATCCTGGGACGTGTAAAACTGCTTTTTAAAAGCCTTTTTGCAAAAATATATGAGTCTTATGAGCTTTTATCAGTAAATCGCTTTTTAAAAAATTATTGCAAATAAAACGTTTATGACTTTTAGTGATAAAGCGACATGACACTCCGCGCTAAAGATCGCGCAGCGAGAGTTGAGGCAATGAAGATAACCAGATTTGTATTTTTATACGCTCGCCGCGCTAACGGAAACGTTGTCTTGCGTAGTCATTTTCAGCAAAAGCAAGGTAGATAGTGTATTTGATAATTGAATTTAAAGTATAATAATATTGTGTAATTGTGTGTGTCCTCTATTCAAGTGAGTCATCAGTGTGAGTTCCGTATTCGCCTCAACTTTCGTTGCGCGACCTATACGACTAATTAATAATCCGCGGCAATAAACGTGGACATATTGTATAAAAACTAAAATAAAAATTAACTGTCTCAGTAATAAGTATCAGCAATATTGAATTTTGTAATTTAAATCAGGTTTACTAAAAATATTGTATTTGTGTCAATGTTAGTCAAGCTTATTGATTATGTCAAAGTCTATTGGCGTAAACGACACCACACTCTGATTGAATCGCACACCCTGGTTTTATTACTATGCTGCGCTTGAACATTTAGATTTCAGCATTCGCTCAGGCTTAAAGTATCGTTTATTGCTTCGTGTTAACTTACATACAATCAAGTAATATCGGTTTTTAAAGAAAAATCAACATTGAGATGGGAAAATTTGTTTTTCAGGAAAATCAACCCTCAGAAAGCGTTTAAGAATTCACCATCGTAACGACGGTAAAAAAGGATTTACGGACTATACCAAAGCTATTAAATAAGTAACAAAATGCTTATGCTTTTTATCATAGAAAAATAAATAAAGGTAAATAACAAAGTACAACTGAGCTTTATTAATAACTCAAAGGCAATTTATCTGTAGGGCTACAAAAGAAAAGTTCCAACTTTTAGCGTTCGAGCGTTCTTATGATATTTAAAATGTCAAAATTAAGCTAGAAGAATTTATTCTAGCAGAGATATCCTAAATATTCTATCCAACCCGTTTGGCCAGTTTGGGCAGATCCTCCATATCCCTTTGGTAAATTAGAAAAGGACATATACTCGTGTTTTTGCAGCGGACACTAAATGACCTGATTATGATGATCATTTTACTTTGGGGCTAGATGGCGCTGTGTGAAATTGTCCAAAGATATTAATTATTATTATATTTTAATATGAGAATGCGTGTAATTACTTTGCTACAATTAACCGTATCTAACAGAAGGTGACAGTGATCAGTAGCGCCGCTAAGGTTTAGTGAAATCGCCGCGATTCGTCTCGGTCAAGGCCGCGCGGTGGCGGTCTCTCCATCATTTCCGCAAAATACACCTGTGCGTTGTATCCTATACTCTTATTGTATGTGACGAAACATCCTACTAACTAGTTATTGTAACAGTGACATCGTGAGGTTTTCCCAAGAAACTTAAATATGAAATATACATTATGAGGTCAGCGATAGAGTTGTCTCTGATTATTGTTTATAAGCCACGTGGAAAAAAATTGATATTCAATGTCTATCTCCCTACGATTCAATCAATCTTAAGTCCCAACCCCTAACATAAATTCAAGTTACGATTGGTCCAAAAGACTAAACATTTGGGCACCAATGGATATTGGTAGATAGCAATTAGTACTCTCTTCTTTAGTTAGTTTTTCTTTCTTAATCATAAATAACTAGAACTGTTCCGAAATATCTGATCAACGCCATCAGACATTCTTAACCAATCCTGAATTCCGTATTTCAGAATCTCTTTAAGTAATTTTATATGTAACAAAGAACATTTTAAGTCATAATACAATGCAATGCAAGCACTTATCTTTCAGTGGGCCGTTATAAAATAATTAGGTGGAGACAGTAGAAAAACTAAGCAAGTCGCTTGTTAATTAGTCATGACTATTATTGACAATTGTTTAATTTTAGTGCTGAACATTTCATTCAGACGATTACAGCTTTTACATTACTTACTTTTTGTCAATTCCTCTATTATGTCTTCAGTATTCAGTAACTGAAAAGTAGATAATACCCGGAAAGTCTAGGCCAAGTATATCTGTCTGTACAATTAAGGATGAAACTTCGGTCTAGTTGCACTCGCAGTTCGCAACGTGACAAAAAGCACCTTGCGCTTGCAGTCTTGCAGCATTTGGGTCAATGCACTGTCATGAAACGCAGTGACCGTTGCTAGAGTTTTCTATTAATCTCAGAAGGACCTTCACCCATAAACCCGACAGACGCTGTCGAGATTCGACGTGCCTCGGCCAAATCAAATTTCACGCAGACAATCAGAACGAAATCAATCATTTACGAAACTGTTTATTAAGAAATATAGTACAATTAACTTAAACTAATACAAAAATAATAAAATTACAAAAACGATGCAACATGCGTACTACAACTAGATCACAGACCGCTGTCATTAAGCTCTACGTTTATAGAAGCCTTCGCTAACAAATGAAATGGACTACTATAAATCTCGGAGCAATTATTATATTACGCATTAATTTTATTAATTTTCTGTCGATAAATAAATAACTATGGGTATGGCGGGTGCTAGCGCGGTAGCGTGGCTCATTTGCCGATTGTTACATTCTTTTTCTTGACTGAAGCGACGGAAGGACGCGGGTCGTCAACTTGTATGTTGGTGGCGTGGACGTAATTGTTCCGATAGCCGGTCTCGTGCACCTTGGCGTTGGGGCTCAGCTTGTCGGTCCTCTCGCCTTCGTCGGCTCGCTCATTCTCACCAGAACGCTCGCTCTCGTCCGCCCGATATTTATTATCTTCTCTCTGATCTGTTAAACGCTCCTTTTCATCACTGCGACCACTGTCATCCGCCCGCCCTTCGTCGTCCGTCCTCTCGTCCTCTCTGATCCTCTCCGGATCCTCTTTAAGACGCTCGTGATCGTCTAGGAAATGTCCGTCCTTCTGCTGCTCCCCCTGTTCCAAGCGTGCTAAATCTGCGTCCTTTGTCGGTGGCGGTATCGTCAAGCCCATGAAATATTCCTCCTCCTTTGATATTGCCCTTTTGTTACCGAAGTAGTCGTAGTCACCTGCGGAATACTCATCGCTTTCCTCAGCTGATCGCGCCTTTCGGCTCTGCTTACGACGACGTTTGCGTCTTGGTTTTTCAGTTTGGGGAGACAAAGCACTATCCTCTCCGTCTGTGTCTTGTTCGTGGTAATATTCCCGCTCTCGCGAGTCACCGGCTTCCGCGCTCTGTTCTTCATCCCTATCGGGTCGGTCCGGTCTTTCGGGTCGGTCGGGTCTTTCGGGTCGCTCACGGTGAAGTTTTCTCGGTCGTTTTTCTTTGTAGATTGGAGGTACGCGCACTGTCACCGTGTCAATATGCCCTGGGTTTTTCTCCGTGGGAGGTAGCACTCGCGGTTTTAGTTTTCGTCGAGGATCCTCGGTCGTCGTAGTTAGCTCTGCATCATCCTCGACACCTTCGTCACCTTCGGGAACCGGGATACGGTTGGGGCGAGCGCGCTCCCGTTGCAGACTTTGATGCGACTCCGAACTTCCGACCCTGCGCACTTGGTTGGCTAGATTACGGTCTCCAAAATGAACGTTTCGATAATCTGCTGGCGGTAGTTTCTTTTTGGCTTGTCTTTTATGATCCCAGAAGTTATCTAATGCGGTACTGAATTCTTTTACGGCCTTCGCACGATCTCTGGACTCCTGCGCGTCCTCGTAGTCGTCCTCGTCGTCGTAGTCGAGTCTCTGAGGCTCGACCTCTTCGTCGTAAGCTAGATAATCGTCCTCGAGACCCGCCTGTTGGGGATTATTAAGATGTTTAGCGTCTATCGTATTAACTTTTTGCGCGACTCCGTTCCTGACTACGAAAGCATCGACATAAACGCGAGGATTTCTCGGCGGGTCCTGTGGCAGTTTGGCAGCGCGAGGCGCAATCGCGACGGGTGCTATCGGTTGAACCGGAGGCAACACTTGAGGGGCCGCGGCCTGTGCGGCGGGTGCGGGAGTGCTTCTTAAAAAGTTGAAGGACAGCCTAAAGTTGGATTGTATAGTTTCAAGATTATCTTTCGGCGGTGGTGGTGGAGGAGGCGCACAGGGAGCAGGAGTGGCAGGATTGGCCCGCGGTTGCGCGCACGGCGGCGGTGGCGGTGGCGGCGGCGGGGGCGGTGGGGGCGCTGGCTTCGGTTTAGGTCGTGGCGCCGCTCTCGGTCTTGGACACGGTGGTGGCGGCGGCGGCGGCGGCGGCGGAGGCGGCGGCGGGGGCGGCGCTACAGCCCTGCAGGGAGGCGGGCCGGCCGCCCGGGGAGCTCCGCACGGGGGAGGAGCGGGGACGGCAGGCGCAGGCGCAGGTGCAGGTCCGGGTCCGGCCTGCAACGGTATATCGATTCCTGGGACCGGTGCCAGCGGTGGCGGAAAAGCCGATTGCGCGGGTTTTCGGGCTACATTGTAGCCTAAAACGTCTGCGAGTCCCCTGAACACTATGTCTCCGAAGGTTCTCTTCTTGCGGACGACCGGCTCGTGGTCGTCCGTCTCGCTGAGGGTGTCGTTGGTGGCGTCATCGCGGACGCTGGTCGCGTGGAGCTCTGTGGCGTTGGCGTCGAGTGCGGGCTCGTCAAGCGGCTGCGCGGCGACGGCTGCGAGCGCCAGCAGCGTCAGCAGCGGCGGCAGGCGGCGCGGGCGCATGGCGCGAGTGTCGCGCGGGAGGTCGGCGCGCGCGGTTTTGTGCGGAGACGCCGACGTTGCTCAAGCCCCGGCACGGTCCACTGGACACGGTCCGCGATATAAGCAGACTGTTGGGACGACGCGGATTAATCCTCCCAATCGGTGCAAGCACTCCTTATCAGTAGACGACCAAAGAAACATGAACACCGACACATCTGAGACCTATTCTTTTATATTACATAGCTATGCTAAGATCACACTCCCGATCAATGTCAGAAAAATTCTAAAACCGTAAACTTGACTACGGAATTGATATACTAACTCGTTTCGAAAGTATCTGCTGGTAAGGTACAAACAAACAAATAATACAAATTTTGCAAGTAGGCCTCAATAAATTACTTTCAAATCACGGTTCAATTTATGTTAATTTCGACATGTCGCGATAATGATAAGCATTGTTACTTGTGATAACTTCTAATAAGAAATTACATTATTCGATCTGCTTGCCAAATACAAAACGGTAAACATAAATGAACGTGAATAGCACCGTTAATGAGATATCTTTGATTTACTAATTACTTTGATCGGAAAACGAAAGACCACTAACTTATGCTATTGTGGCAGATACTAAGAAAATAGGTAAAACATAGTTTAGGCATTAAGTACCTTAAATTTATGTTTTGGAGATATACTGACCTGTCCTAGATAGTGCCAGTTTATGCGACTTTCGAAGCAAAACCGCAAAAACCTAGGGTCAGTTTTTGCCCGCATTATGTAAAGCGATAACTTATTGGATTGTTTTACTTCAATGACAAATTAAGTAGGTAGTACTGTTATAGATTTTTAAAGTGGGCCAAGGTAATGTTAGCTATTCGTAAAATGTAGACTGTTGATTAATAATTAAATCGATTAGATTGATTTTATACGTCAGGTCAGTGTTAGTAGACATTACTTAGTACTTACCTATCTACCTATTCGTATTTCTATGTGAATCTGTAAAACAATAATGCTGTAGAGTCTACAGTAGAGACCCTTGTTATTTCTTGAAAAGTTAACGATTTGTTAGTAGCTACTTTAATTGTCTAAACAAATAAATACATTTAAGACTTGACTCACAAACTGCTAAAAACTTTCGATCCCAGGGTCGATTTCCATAAGTTAATATTTGTCTACCATAAGATTCGAACCCGCTACTTGCCTTAGCAGTTCAGGCTACGCGCCATCATTTAGTCGGCAATTTTCCTCGCAAGTGCGTTGTTGCTACGGTATTCTTTCAGGTGAAGAGTTCTTAATTTTTTCATACCAATAGATGCTTTTACAGTGAGACTTATTTTACACTCCTCTCAAGATATCGAACAGAGGAATCAGTAGGATATGAATGAATGCCATTACCATGCGATCGACTTTGAAATGATCACTTACAAATAGTATGTTTTCAGAGCTATTTATTTATTTAGCTATTCACGTAACTTATTACTTTGATAACCCTAAGCATTAAATTTTTCGGTCCAGTAGGTACTGACCAAAGCTCAGTAATTTCGGGTTCCATACACCACATTTAACCTGACTAGGTACTCATTTCAAGCTCTGCTTAGTTTGATGCTAGATCATCGGTAGTTCGCTTACTTAATGCATGTTATGAACGAACCCGGCAATCCGTTTCATCGGTGTACTAGACTAAACAGATTATCGCAAAAGTGAATCTCCGCTGTGCATTAGACAGTGTAATAGCTGCGCTATGCGCGCGCGCCGCCCGCTGCGATGCGTGACTGCAGGCGCGATACGACTCACTTGCGCACAGTATAGCTAATATTCTTATAGGCGCTGTGCAGCTGACAATATGCGCGTTATATTATTCTGTTTTTACTTTAAGTTTATAAAGAAGATCTACTTCTTTCTAGAGTACCTACCTATCTTATTAGATTAACCAATTAGTCTATGTAGTTTGGATTGGCTTGAACCCCCTTTTCCCTACTGAAGTGATAGTTACTCACTACCTCTCTGCGAATTAAAGCAGTTAAAGTCCTCCAATGTATTAAGATATTATTCATCAAATATCTGAACTGAATGAATACCTTTATAGCTTATAGGTAGAACAATTTTTTAGGTGCTGCCTCTACACTTCTAGAGTAAATTCATCAAGAATGTTTATTTATGGAGTTCGTCATCGCCGAATCAATCTGAAACCGAATTATCATACTAAATAAAATAAACACCAGCATTAAAGTTAAGTTAGCTTAGTGCTACCAACAGATGGCGCTACCAGTCCTTAAATCTTCGTAGCGAAACATGTTTTTATTACTGACTTGCGTCTTGCAAAGAATTACACCATTAGCAAAAAAATAGGGGCCCATGAGAGTACAATCCTATTTTCGACCGTTTTTCGTTAATTAATCGTTTCCTTTAAAATTTTATATAGGCGTACCTACCTATAGACAATACTTAGCAGCTTGATATTTACAGGACGGTTTTGCAAAGTTTTCTAAAAGTTTTAAGTTAATTTAAATCATCACAAATCCTTGTTAGATATCCAAATCCCATTTTTTTTTAGATAACCCTCATATTAATTTGGTCCGCTCAGCGAGTTTACAGATCAAAGTTATTGCCCACTCGAATCTGAAGGCACCATACGAAATCGATAAAAGCCCACTAAATCCCAAGCTTTAGAGAAACGCAGTGATCGATCCCGAATCGAATTTACTAATCGAATCTTGGATTTTTGCTTCAAATAATAACACCACCAAATTACTTGTGTAAATTTTCTTCGGCTATTAAACATGTAAGTTGAGATTTACAAATTATTTATTTCTTTGAATGAAAATCTTATATATCGCATAGTCGTTATTATTTTCAAGAGCTTTTCCATTTAGGACTTCTCACTACTTATCCAACATAATTAATGGTTGAGTGATTTTCAGAGGAAATCCCAACCTTTTCAAGGATTCTCGAACTTTGGTGTTTAGTTCTCTATATTTTCCTATCCATGATTCCTAGTCTACTGCTTCACTCTGGGTCCTAGTAAAACAACAAAGTACCATAGATAAATTAAATTATATAAACGCAGGTTGGCCGTAGTAAGGGCAATCTGGTCAGGTGGGGATTCTTGGATGGCTCAAACATGGAGTGCAGGTGCGGTTTTGTTCCCCAGTCGATGAAGCACATGATGTCGTGCCCTGAGTGCCCGACCAACTGCACTTAGGAGGATTTAATGAATGCTGCTGACAACACTACTCTTATAGCGGAATTTTGGGCTGACACTGTGTAGATTTGTTGTCGACACGATAAGAAGAAGAACAAAGTACAAAGGGCAATAATCATCTACGTGACTTATATACAGACTTCCTGGTCTACAATCCCCATTGCGAGCCACACAAGCAGCGCCGAGAGCAATTAGCCCGTTGGATGAGCAGCGCTTCCTTGCGCGCGTTTTGCATACCAATTACACCACACGCGGTTCCTGCACTCGTGCGCACTGTCGCTTTCCACTTGTTCACTGTCACTCTTATGACGTTACCCACTTGTTTGTTTCGATTGTGGACATGTGCTCAATAAATAATACTTATTTAGCAACAATGTAAACAAGTACTTGCCTGCTGCTGTCTTTCCCGAAAACTATAATCCGGGCCTTTTCGAGGCGTGAGTGAATAGGCACTTACAGGGCAGATATGTACCAACCTAGACTGCATCCCACTTAACATCAGGTGCGATTGTGGTCAAATACTTGCCTTGTTATGCATAAAAAAAAACTTTTCTGACTTGTAGTTTTATAATGCTCGGAGATATTTTCCTTTAATTCCCAACTCTCGATTGAGAAGAGCTATCAAGAGCTTATGTTACAAACATGTTGTAAACTTTACAAACCTGTGTTTATATTATTTAGAGAAATCTTTACTTATATTGTTTGTAAAGGTTTTTAAGAAAAAAAATAGTTAAAAAACAAAGTTCTCCAGCTGCATCTGTCTGTTCAAACTCAAAAACTACTGAACTGATTTTCATGACTGTAAACCAGTAAACTTACCAACTGGTTTGCATTTTCTCCCATAAACATTAAGGTCCAATATCTATTTTACATAAGACCTTATTTCCAGATGAAGCTCTCTCAATAGTAACATAATCGTATAACGTCACATTCAAAACAGCTAATGAGACGTTTCCTCGAAACACAATCTAAACCATAAAATTAAGGTGATGCCTTGCGAATATTGGGCGTTTTAAAGAAGCGCAGAATTAGTTTTAATCGTACTTTTCCTTTATTTTATGTTCTCATTTTGAAATATGTTATAGTTGACAAATATATCTAGTATGTGGCTAGAGCCGAAACATGAATGGAAACAATTTTCTCGATAGAAAAAAATTCCAAAGATGACCCTTCTATTACTCTATTTTTAGTTATACAAGCAGATAGGCGAATGTATAAAACCCAAATTTTTATATTGGTAAGGTAATAACCGATTCTAATAAGTGGCAAGTTTTTTTTTTTAAATACAGTTTGGTTTTTCAATAAATAAATGATTTCCGATTTGTCGCTTACGTTATTTTATTCCGCGCCGCGCGCGCTATTGCTGTCCCTTTCCTCGCACTGAGATATCATATTTCTATCCCTCTGTGTGCGAGGCATTCAGTCGGCCGAAAACATTGATGAGGACGGACGTGCGCTCGGTGGCACTGACAATGACAGTTAATATCGTCGAACGTTAGGTTCATTCCACTTTGTTCTGGGTGATATCAGAAACTAGGAACAACAGAAATCGGGAGGGTAAATATCTTATTTACCGTTATAGTTTTTGTTGTAAAATCCCGTGGAGTGATAATTTATATCAGAAACTGTCAAATTAAGAGGCAGCTTAATTTTAATTAAGTTTAATGGTAATCACAAGTAATAAAATTTGTATACCTACATTATGTCACAGGGAATATAAGACTGTAAAACAATACATACCTCGTAGTGAGCTAACTGGTGACAAATTGAAACATATTTATTAGCATTATTATGTTTAATTGACATACTTACATCATAAATT